AAATCATTCTGGCAGATCATCCATGCTAGGATGCAATAATTGTTAGCATCCCATGAAAGGGAAAGGAGGCGAAGGTCAAGCGCAGCATGAGCACAGAGGTGAAGCTTTCTCCGGAGGTGTTTCCAGAGCGCTCTCCCATCCCTACCTATTTGCTAGCCAACCTCATGTTACGCTTTGCACTAAAAATCCCATGACAGGCTAGAAAGCACTAGACAGCAAGTTGCCACTAGTTCACATAAACAGAAAGTTAGCTCCGTGACCAAATTACTGACTACTCTGATTAGCTACAGCTAATTAAGGCAGTGCATGCCAAGGGCATGCACGGGAGGGGAGGTTTGGAGACTGTCTCCAAAGTGGGGGGAGCTGAGGGCATTTTCTGAGCTGCATCCAGCTCTGGTGCAGCATGCACCGGCCCAGACAACGCGTGAATCCCTCTCGGGGAGCGCAGATGCTGCAGGCGCCACCTCTCTACCGCTCACAACAGCGCAGAAGATGTACAACAAAACGCAGCATGGCACACTGCTGCGCACCGAGACCTTCAACCAGGATATAACGTACTTCGTAGCACAGGTTGTCTCAGAAACCCCTTGGAAAAGAGCAAAGTCTCTTAAGAGAGCAAGGAACAGGCACGTGGCTTGGAGAGTAAGCTAACAATCACACGTCCCCCCCAGCTGTGGGCAAAGGGAGCGCTGCACAATTGCTGTGTGATTTCAGTGCCCGTGCTTTGTTATCTGAAACTACAAACTTTGTCATTTCCAGTCCTTGGAAAAAAACACATTGGAAGCTTTTATTGAAAGTGAGTTTTCTTTTTTGCATTAACTGTTTCCCATTAGTTGTTAAAGAGCAAGATAAAAAAATTGAAAAGCTACACAGCACAAGCTCCAGTATCATTCCTACACCCAGCCTCAAGAACAGCAATGCTCTTGATTGCCCTGGGAACATCAGTAAGGAAAAAGTGGATGCTCTTCCCCACTTAAGGTCACCACTCAGGGCTTTAAATAATCATCCCCCAGCTAGTTCCCCCACCCAGCCACGTCCTGTAGCAGACCTTAGTGCTTTGATACCTTACCAGTCCATGCAGGTGCTGCTCTGTGCCCTTGCCAGGCCCTGTCTCTTTTTTTTTGGAAAGAGTCTCCACCTTATGTAAGGAGGATGAGGTGTGAGAGTGCCTTGGGAACTTCTCTACCTTTTTTAACCTCCTTCTAAGCTTCCCTGTCACTCCCTGACCCAGTCTGGCAGGTAACAGCTCAGCTGAGGCCCTCAGCAAGATTTACAGCCTCTCCTGCAGGTGCTGGCACGCAGGAGCTCCAGAGGCTTCTTAATCTGCCTTCAGCTGTTTTGTGCTGTGGCTCACATTCACCGTCCCGACACAGGGACACAGGGCTGACTCGAGGAGCAGGCTGTGCTCAGAGACTGGTGGCTGCAATAGTTGGAGGTGTGGACAGAGGCAGGAAGTCAGCGATTAAAGAGGAAAAGGAGTTTTTGCATATCTTTGTAGAATTAAAGAAAAAAAAACATTTAAAGCTGTAGGTGGACTAGGGTCATATAATCAACAACTCAGATTGTTTGCACATGACTTCTGGGGGGAACGGTTTTATGCTAGTGTTGTTAAGTACAGCTACCGGGTGATTAAAATGCACTGCACTTCTTTTAATTCCAAAATTTGCAACAAGAGGGATCAAGAGCTGGCACAGTGGCTGCTGAGGACTATCCCCCGATACCGAAAGGGGAGGGAGAATTACGCATGCCACTGGTCCCGAGGTCAGAGTCTCTGACGGTGAGGACCAATGAGAAGAAAATGCAGAGGCTTTCTGCTGTCCCTGCCCATAGCCTGAGCCGGCAGCCAGCTCTCTGTTACTCACTCTCTGGGGTTACTGCTGGCGTCCTCCAGCCCACGCTTCCCGGAGACCCACCAGCCCAGCGGCGCAGGCTGGGTCCCCTCCCGCTGCAGAGGCGGGTG